GTGACAATTGATGACAACATACACACTATAGCTGCATCATGCAGGTAACATATGGAGCTCCTCTATATACCCATGTTTGTTAATAAATTCATGCTTATGAAAAATAAACTGCATGTAATAGATATGTTTAAATCTTAATATTACTCGATAATTCATCCTTTCTCCAATGTTTTCATTTATTTCCACTCTCCACAGTTAGTAACAAGGATAATACCTAAAAAAAGTAATTTAACATCAGAGGAACAAACTAATTAAAATTGAAACTCAGTAGTTTAGGATTTTTTACTTCATGAAAAACGTAGATATATATGAAGTCCATGGTCAAAAACAGGATACATTTAGTGTATTTTTTATATATAACAAAACAGGAAATTAAGGAAGCTAATTAACACATACAAGAGTGTAATTTAACTAGACATAGTTTCATTAAGTAGATGATGACATTGAGATTTGGCAGAGTTGTCCTTCAAGTAGCAAATCAAACTACCCTGACTTGTATTGTTAACTTTATATAATGGAATTATCCAAATCAAATAAATAAACCAAAACGTCACTTGTATTGTTAACTTTATGTAATATAATGACTTGACAAACAAATATTAATTATCCATGAGTACCCGAATTTGATGTCCTCCTGATATTGTTTGTGAGTTGAGGACAGGTGGTCTGACACCATTTATGTCGTTAGAAGTAGTTCGTTGCCATGGTTCTCCACAACTGATTAATCCCATTAAGATCAGAAGGCCACAAAAAGAAGAGCAAAATTGCATTAGTTCCATCACAAAAAGAAGAACAAAAAGAAGGCCATCACAAAATTGCACTATACGAAGGGGGGCGAAAATTTTAACAAATCCAACTTATAGAATTTCAGATAACATACAGTTTAACAAGTATACTAAATTGATGAATTTAACATAAGTTGTTTCATTGCCATGTGCCCATGTCAACAATTGAAAGCAAGAGAATCACAATATAAAACCAGAAAACAAGTACCAGCAGTCTCAACATATGCACCCATTAAATAATTTTAATAACAAATATAATCATGTAACCAAAACATAGTCAAAATGAGACAGCTCATAGAACCCAAATTAGGCAAGCACCTAAAACTAACATCATAAAGCTCCATAATACCCACATCAATACAGACTCATCTACTTCATTTATCAAGCACAATAAATCTAAGAAATAAATTCCAGAGAAATTATAGTAAACTATAGTTATTTTATACCCATATTTTTCTTTCACTGTCGGTTGGTTTTTGAGCATCCAAACAAAATAAAACTACCAAAAGATCAAAACTTTACAAACAGAAAGTGAAAATACTCATAACAGGGAAGCTGTCCTACATGTGATGGCTTCGGGCCAGTGTTTCTTCCTCGTGGTAACAGATTTTGGGATATCAAATAAAGCAAAAGAAGGAGACCCATAAAGTGAAATCGAACGCTTTTGTAATCATATATTATGCTTATATCATATATAAAAAAAATTAAAATTGAAGAAGACAGAGAGTGAATGTGCATTGACAGGACAAGAATAAAGTTGAAAGAGGAAGAGGGAATAGATACCCAAACAAAGCTGAACGGCAACGTTGAAATCAGAAGCGTCGTCGACCTTCTCGAATGAGAAACTGAAAGTGCCAGAAGCTGAACGGCAATGTTGTGAATGAGATACCCAAACAAAGTTGAATGGCAACGTTGCGAATCAGAAGCTGGCGGAGATACCCCTTGTTTGGACGTTCTGCTATTTAGGTATGAATCAGCGAAGGAGAAGTCAAAATTTTCAAAAATTGAAACAAAATTAAATTGTTGATGTGTTTAACCTGATGTGCTTGCTTAGCCAAAATGGAAGTGTGAGTGTTGCGCCGACTGAAAGCGAGAAGGTCGTAAGTTGCTGTCGGTGACACACCAGCGTGAACGGCGAAGGAGATTGACAGTCGAAACCAAAACTAAGACGAACAGGGTTCTGTTTTGGTTTGTGGCAACGATTTGGGGGAGAATAGCTGAATAGGGTTTTTTGGGAACTTAGGGAATAGTCGAAACCAAAAATAACAGGGAACTGAAAGATAATGGGCACCGATGAATAGTCATTTGGCAAAATAAAACGCGCCAATGAATAAATTGTAGGAAATGGAAAAATATTTTATCATACGTCGTGAAATGATATTAACCGCCTCCAAATTATAAATACCACGACAGTTCACATAAAACCGCCTTAGAATACATTTATTCAACGACGGTTCCAATGTAACCATCGTGTTTTGCCAATATTCAATAGCGGTCTCTATAACCGTTGTAGTAACCGCTTTAGTATTTAATTCCAAGGCGGTTCACATGTAACCGTCGTGGAATAACGGTCGCCAAATACACATTTTCTTGTAGTGACTCGTGAATATGTTTGTGCTTAGCTAGTAATAGTTCAGTGAAAATTTGCATAATATATATGAAGGTTTGTTTGTTACAAATTGGTGTGATCCCATGTTTATGTTGCATATTGTTGAAACTGTTTGGTTGTTCTTGATTGAATATGGGCATGAGCCCTCAAAAGAGTCCACAAAGGTCCAGAAATCCACTACTTACAAGTAAATCTTATAAATAAATGGTTAAACCAATCAAGTACATACATTCTAAACACACACACACACACTCTCTCTTAGTTATCACTGTACATACACCTCACGCTTTGGCTATTTCATTACTATGATGCACAGTGATCCGCTGATCTCAATGGTATCTCCCTTATAAATACTTGAGATAGGACATATAGATCCAACAAAAATATACCAGCCACCGGCTGGACATCTCTGTCACTATTACAGAACAGTCGTACTGAGCACCGGGTACGATAGTAGTTCAAAATAAAATTACAAACTATGTATTGGGGAAAATATAAAATTATAATATTAAATTTATTTTTTCTCTCTTTCTTCAAGAAACATGTAAGCTGACGTGTTATTGATAGGTTGTAGATACGAAAAAAGTATTACGGATTTTTTCGTATAATGGATAAGTAAAGTTGACTGCATTTATTTAAAAAAAAAAAAAAGTTGACTGCATTGCTCTGGGTCTCATTGTCCAAGACTATTCTTTGCATAATTGTTTATTTTCCAAAGCCAAAATTACACCCGAGGTAATATTGTTACGACATTGAAGTGAATTGAAGAAAACAATTTGAATATAAAAAATTGCTGTTAACTTATTTATCTTGACATATATTATTTATCTTTTCTTTGTTTTTATTAGTTAGTTGTTGAGTGCTATGATGCACGGACACTGACACGGGACACGACTCGACACGACACGTTGACATGTTAATTCTAAAAGATTACATATTTCGACACGTTAGGACACTTTTTGATATTAAATAATATTTTTAATATATATATAATATAATTTATATTTAATACATATAACAGTTCATAATAAGTCATATAATCAATCAAATATTCAAATTCCATAACATAAATATAAAAAAAAATTCATACCTTTTTAATTTTTCATGTCAAATTTCATAACAGAAAAAAATTGATTTATAAATAATTTTTTATTTTTAGTTAATAAAATAAAATTAAGATTAAAAAAAACGTGTCCGAGCGTTGACCACATGTCGAAAAAAATTGACTGCGTGTCGAAAAAATGTGTCGGAGAGTTGAATGCGTGTTCCAAAATATTGACCACATGTCGGACGCGTGTCCGTGTCGGACACGTGTCCTGACACGCCGTGTCCGGGTATCTGAGGTTGAGTGAACTTACATTGAATTTGACTTATTTTTAATTTTAATTTATTTAGAGACAGGTATTTAAAACGAGATTACAAAATTCATAATTAAATATTTTTAATTAAATGAAAAAAATTAAATCGTGTGATAATGAATATAATATAAGGGTTTTATGTTTATCATGTAACATGATATAACATCACTTTCCTACACACACATTAAAGAAGTAGAGTCCACATGTTTTTCTTTCTCTTTCATCATTCCATTTTCTCTCTCTATTTTTGTGTGTGTGTTGGAAATAACATTTAAATTATGTAACATAACACTAATAAAACCCATAATATAATCATAGTATACAATACTTCACTACAAAACGTTATATATAGATTTTATTTATTTCTTTTCTTAAAATAAAATTTATTAAAATAAAAACCCAATAACACATACAAGTGGATTGGGCCTCAAGTGGATTGATAGTCTGATAGGTAAGTGGATTTCTTCTTGATCCTCTTAGTTAGAAGTAGCTGACTTCATAAAATGTTGGGCTCTATCCAACAATATGTTCTATTCCCGCGGAACAGTTGGAGAGTATCTGTACGAGGGAAATTTATTCTATGGTCTCTTCTCTCTCCTCTCTTTTTTCCTCTCTCCTCTCTCCTCTCTCCTCTCTCCTCCCCTCTCTCTCACAAAGGGTGCATTGGTCCGTGCTCTCTAAATATTTGCTCCTGTATGAGATAGTTAATATAAAAATAAGGAAAAAGTATTTGTCATTTTAAATAACAGAAAGTTATGTCATTTTAAGAGAGATACAGACACAAAAAATTTAAATTTTAAATTAAAAAAACCAATCACTTTCTCTCTCTCATGATTTCTATTTTTCTGTGTCTATCTTAAAATGACATAATTTATGTGATTTAAATCATCAAACACAAAAGTAATAACATAACTATTATCAAGCACATGGATCTTTAATACCAAAAACAAAAACAAAAAAAGAAGACAAAGTAGTAGTTATAAGTACCGAGTCTGAAAGCAATGGGCACACAGGCAGAGAAAGGGAGAACTCAAGTACCTACATACATCCATGACTTACCATTGCAACCGGCAAAATAAGCATCCTATCCACACTCCAATCCTTTTCTTCAAGATTATTCTTAGAACAAGTCTTCAAGATGGAAAGCTTGTAAACATTCCTTCCTTCATCTCTCTTTTTTTTTTTTTTGGGATTTTTATTGTTAGGTTCTTTTGAATATTTCTGTTGTGATTATGAATTTAACTATGCATGCTAAGAGAAAGTTCTTTGCAGAAACTCCCAAACAATTTCACTGGGAAATATCGTGGTGACATGCCAAACCCAATGTTTCTCAGGCCTCCAGATGGCACTGAGTGGGAAGTATTTTGGACTAAAAATGCTGGTGATATTTGGTTTCAAAAGGGTTGGAAAGAATTTTCTACATATTACTCTCTAGATCATGGTCATATGGTGTTGTTTGAATACAAGCACATTTCTCATTTTGATGTACGCATATGTGACAAGAGTACACTTGAAATAGATTATCCTTTCCATGGCTCTCAAGATGCACAGGATAACCTTGACCAGATTAGTGATGATGATTCAGTTAAAATTTCGGATGAGCTACCACCATGCCATAAGAATACACAGAAATCACCAATGTCTTCTCCTCAACCATGTAAGAAATCGAGAACTTGCACAAGTGGAGATGTTGAAAGAAGCTCAACTTTGCAAAACTTGCCTCAGTATGTCCAAATTGAAGGTACAAACTTGGAGAAGTCTAAATTTGCATCTGTAAAGAAAGAAGCGGATGGTATGTATTTCATGATCAAATTTTCCATTTTCCATTTCATGGATCCAGTTGAGTTTATATATGAGGTCAAATTTTTATAACATACCTCATGTTGTTCAATTTTTCAGAGGATATAGGTGGTAGTGGTACCACTGAATTTCTAAGAGTGAAGCAGTTCACTTCTAAACTTACCGAAGCTACAAACAAAGCCAAAACTTTCAGATCTAAAAGTCCCTCTTTCACGATTGTCATGAAGCCTTCCTATGTAGATGGTCAATTCTTGGTGAGCTTTTGATTAGCTTCATTTTTATCCATTAAGATAGTTTCCTATCTTTTGTTTGAAGCAGAAATATAACTTTTTAGTTAGATTTTCTGACTTGAAAAAAAATTAAAAAAAATGCAGCATGTCCCGTTACAATTTGCTGATATATATTTGAAGAAAAAGGAAAGGAATATCCTCCTTCAAATATTGGATGGGAGAACTTGGACTTGTAATTATAGATTCCCCAAAATTTTTGGTAGATGGAAGAATTTTGTATCAGATAATGATTTGAAAGTGGGAGATGTTTGTCTTTTTGAGATGACCGAGATCCGAGACCTTTCTTTGAAAGTGCAAATCTTTCCACTTGCAGAAGAATCAAATTACCCTCCAGTTCAAGGTAATCCAAGTTGGTCTTTCTTTTCTAAGTATTATTCTGTTTGATCTGCATAGTAATGGCTGTAATTTTGTTCCTTAGAAACTGTTCAAGGAGATGGAATTCATTGGTTAGACCCTGGGAGAGTACTGCATGTTGGATGTTTAAATATTAATAGCAGAAAAGGTAAATCTTAGACATCAATGCTGCATGACCAATTGGTAATTCAAGTTTTAGTACTCCCTATAAAAATGCAAATGTAGATATTTCAAAATTGTGCTGACTGCATCCTTAAACTATGTGGTTCTTTGCCATGCCATAGATAAGAAGACAACAAAAAGTTCTTCATTGCTGACTGGAGCTCTGAAACAAGCTTGTGAATTGGCCTCAGAAAATCCCTTTTTCAAAGTTAAAATAAGGACGGATAATAAATTTAGACCGGTGAGGTTAAGTTAAGCAGAAAATTAAATACATATATTTATGCTTGAAAATTTTATGGCAGTAGACCCTTTCATGTTTGATTTCACATGACCAGGTTATGTGAAGAGTTATGAACATTTGGTAGATAAATGAAAGGGGATAAGAGATCAAAGAGAAAAAATATTGGAATATTGGTGGGAAAAAATAAGGTTTGATTTATTTATCAAGTTTAAGAATCCTTCACATGATCACATAATGTGAAATCACACATGAGAGATTACATTCTCTTTATACCTTGCAAGCAGCAAAAATGCAGTTATTTTTATACTATCATTAACTGTTGGGCTTTGATCTCATAACTTGATGCAGAATGTACCACTTGTCTTCATGAGAGAGTACTTCAATAACAACATGCAGATTGTGATGTTACAGTTTGGAAAGAAATTGTGGCCTGTAAAGTTAGTGAGTTATGCAAATAGAGATAGTGCGGGATGGAAGTTGTCTAATGGTTGGTTGCAATTTGCTCGAGAAAGTAAATTGGTAGGTGGAGATTACTGTGTGTTTGAACTCATCAACAGAGAAAATGCAGTACTTAATGTTCATATTTTCAGAGGCCACGGTTAGGCAACTAATTGGAGCTATTTGTACCATAACTGTTAAGATGTATCACTCCACTGGGATGCTTTTGGTAAAATTATCATTGTATTGTAGTTATTAATCGTTATGAGGCGTAGTTATTAATATTATGACAAGCAGTGTTATTTTCGTATCAATTTATGAATGTTTAATTTAATTTTTTAATTTTTTTTTCTTTTTACATTTGTTTAGTTAAACAAAAAAAAGGAATGTAGTTGAAAGAGAAAAGAAAAATTTATCATTGGATGGGTTTTAAGCTAACTTTGATTTTCATGAGATATACTCTATTCGTATAAGAATATAAAACAAACAAACCTGTGAGTGCTATTTTTGTTATAATTAATAATGTCTAAAATTAAGTATTTAAAACTAATATAAAATATGAGAATGTCATTTTTTACGATTCACTATATAAAATAAGTATTTAATGTTGTAAAATATTCAAGTGATGACTATTTGGTTTCTTATAGCTTTTAATATAACTTGTAACCCCTATATTAATGGTGAGTAAAAATATAACTGATGACTGTTGATGTACGTTGTAACCATCGCACTAATGGTGACTTGAAGTGTAATTATTCATATTCATGGTTGTATCCTATGAAGCACCGACACTTTAAAGATCTTGACGTGTCGTGTCCGACATTTCTCGACACTGTCGGACACTCCGACACTCCAACACGCATTATAGAAATTCAAAAAAAAGTTTAAAGGTTGCGTTGCGTTGAGTTTTTAGTTTCAACTATTAGATTCGTTGGATTACGATTACTATTTTATTGAGTTTAATATAAATATTTAGAATATCTTATGTTGCTTTGCAAAATTTATGAATATTATAAGTTTAAATTTATTTTTTTGTTAAATTATTAAATATTAAATATAATATACACTACATAAATTAAAAATATTATTTAATATCAAAACGTGTCCTAACGTGTCGAAATCTAATATTTTGTAGAATTAATGTGTCGGAGTGTCGTGTCGTATCGTGTCACGTGTCCCATGTCAGTATCGGTGCTACATAGGTTGTATCCTTATACATACATATGCATGATAGCTGAATAAAGGGTGGAATTCTAGCCTATTTGTCTAATCTACTCTTTGTCTCTGTATCTCTCTTCCATCTCTTTTCCTTTTATTTTATAAAGAGTAAATATTATTTTTGGTCTCTAACAAAAAACACGGTACCTACTTTAATCCCTTACAAAAAAAAATTAGTCTCGAGGTCTCTAACAAATTCAAAGTGGACCTATTTAGTTGAAATCGTGTTCCCTCACAAATTCAAAAACAAACTCATATTAGTCCCCAAAATGACTAAAATGGGCTCACTTTAAATTTCATAGGAACCAACTGACTAATATTTTTTTTTATAAAGGATTAAAGTGGAGACCGTATTTTTTGTTAAGAATCCAAAAGGGTATTTACTCTTTTATAAATCAACATGATAGCATTGATCTAAATCTATGATATTTTCTTTCAAATCAAAACCCTTTTTCTCTTCCCAAGATTTCTTGTGTGAGGATCTCATCTCAAATCACGTGAGCAGTGGTTAACAAAGCGTGATTTATGAGATCACATGAGCAGTGGTTAACAAAGCGTGATTTATCTGAGTTTAGACTTAAGCTTACTGTTCAAAGGAAACAAAATCTTGTGATAAGGAGGAAACACTTTCATCAATTTGTACAGAATACCGGTATGCCATTTTGATATCAGTTTATTATTACCATTATTATTTTTTCTCTTTATTAGAAATTTAAGAAAATATGATTTTGGGGTTTAAAGCAAATAATAAAACATGATGATGATTCCTTATCTATGAATAATATGTGATTTTAAAGGTAGATTTTGTTTTTCGATTCTTTTTGATTTTTGATTTTCTCATCTTCTAGCTAGACTCCTTATTAAACATATTATGATGTCTTTATATTTATATTTGTATAATATTAGAAGACTTCATATTTGGTTATTATGTTTTCGATTCTATGACAAGATGATTTATTTTATGACATCAACATGACTTGCTTGGAAATATTTTATAAATCTTTGAATATAAAATTTTCAGGAATCTTTAAGGGGGTGTTTGGTAAGTGATTTCTGGTGGGATAGCTGGGTAAGTACGAGTGGGATACTATGTAAGCCATGTTTGGTAGAGGGTTTAAAAAAATAAAACTAGAGAACCATTTCACCCGTCTAAACCAGAGTTGTGTGTAATTTGATATGAAAAGTAGTGTTTGCGAAGACTACCTCAGAGCTAGTATTTGAGGAAAACTAGTTAAATGAAAAATCTGGCGGGATATTGTTGACTGAAATGCCCCTCTAATCTGAGACTCTGTCATCTATCAAGCGCAATTGTGTGAGTCGGTCCAACTGCAAAGTTCCTAGATAGGAGGAGCCAATTACTTCAGTCAATGTAGAGAAAGTGGATGGACTGAGACAGAAGCTTGCTTCCATTTGTACCTTTTGTTTTTTAAACATTGTGATCACAGCTTGCTGTATTCAGGCCTTGTACCTTATTTTTTGTCGTGAACAATTAACGTTATTTGTTCCATTTCAGATTTTACTATTTTAGGAGAAAATTTTCTGATTATCTAGTATTTTTACTGAGATGTCAGAAGAAATAAATTAAATGAACTTTATAAATCTGTTAGTTATCACATTTGGAGATTGAGCTTCAGCAAGAGCTTGAAAATGTTCCAACTCTTTTCTGTCTAAAAGAAATATAGCTTATAAGATACTAAGCTAGCAACAAGGTATAAATTTTTGCAAAGCTAAAACAGGAAAAAATGTGCGACCCAACTCTTACATATATTTTTGTTTCTTGAAACCCAGAAACCTCTGTTTCATCAAACCAAATAAATTTTGGTCGCCATCAGTTTTAGTCATATTCCCTATATCAAGACCTTCATTTTCTCCACCGAGTCTGAGCAATTATTTGGAACCTCTGGTTGTTTTTCCTTACGGTTAATGAAAACAAATGGCATAATTGTAATCAAACATTGCTTTTAAATAAAATAATTTGGCACGGTCTGGTCAAAGAAAGTGTAAACAACCGTAGTTTAACTATCAGTATTGTAAGAGCAGGAAAGAAGAACAAACCTTTCCACAAGAAGTGTAGCAGCCCACAAAGAGAAACCCAAAAGTTTCAACAAAATTTACATATAAATAAGTCCTTGTTGGCTGGTATGACAAACTCCAACTTACCAACGATGCTGATGCTGTAGTACGGGAACCATCCGTTTTTACATAATTCATCTAAAAACCCAACAAGAAGATAGGAAAGCAAACAAATCAATATAAGAACCAAACATTAAAATAAATATCAAAGAAAAATTTATGAAGAAACACAGAACGAAAGACGAACTTTCCTTGCATAGATGTCCAACGATACACTCACGGGTCTATTTAGATTCAAAATTTACAAGGGGTATTTTCGGTTTTTCAATATATTTTCCCATCAATATTTTACTTTCAACAAAACATAAATTTAGTAAACTTAAATCAATTTTTCTAGTAATATTTGGGCCTACCAAACAGTTTTCTTAAAACTTGGCTAGTAAATTTGCTTTTCCACTAAACATATTTTTCTAATAAAAAAAAAATTCCTCTACCAAACGCCACCTAATTTATCTTTGATGATAAATAAATAGTATAATAACCCTCAAGACCAATGTTGTCAAACTCGAGTTTTTACGTAGAAACGGAAAGGGATGGTAGAAACGTAAAACGTAAAAACGACACGAAACATAAGTTTTTACTTTCTACTACTTAAGGTCAAGATACAAAATTATATATATGCATGTAAAAAAAGTCACATAATGAACATGTGTGGTGAGCAACTTATCTATTTAAAAAAGAAAATTATTTTTGATAACCAAGTATCAAAATTATAAACAGTAATAATTAACAAGTAATGGGTAACAATTTGCTCTGACTGCTTCATACACTCTGTAGATTTGGATCATCGCTCATCAAAATATAATTTCACTTCTTTTAATGCACACAATGATCCAAAAAAACAAAATGACTTTCATAACATAACTTATAATACAATCGCAGCTTTATAAGACATGATTATAAAAGACATATATACAAACAAAAAGATATCAAGATACTCTGCATATGATGTGGGAAAAATAAAAATTGGGTTTTTTTTATTTCTTTTTTTGTAAATCTTTTTTTTTTCATTTTAAGTAAAAACGGTCAAAACGGTAAAAACGTAAGTTTTTATCGTTTTTACACGACGTTTCTATTAGTTCTTACCAAGGACCGTTTTTACTTGCGTTTCAACACGCACCACTATAGTAAAAACATAAGTTTTTACGTTTTTACACTAGTTTTTGACAACAATGTTCAAGACCAATTCCTATGGTTAAATTTGTCAATGAAAGAGTAGAAGTGAAGAAAGAATGACGATGATAAAAAAATATATATATATATATATATATATATATATATATATATATAGAGAGAGAGAGAGAGAGAGAGAGAAGATTCTTTGACACCGGTGTCAAATTTGAAATTTGACACCTCATCTTAGAGCCATTAGATCAAAAAATATCAACGACTCTGATTTGTAAGCATGTGACACCATTGATCTTTTTTGATCTAATGACTCTAAGATGAGGTGTCAAATTTCAAATTTGACACCGGTGTCAAAGGATCCTACCTCATATATATATATATATATATATATATATATATATATACATATATGTATATATATATATATGGGAAAAATATTTCTCAAGCAGCTTGAGATAAATTTATCTCCGGCTAGCTCAAAATTATATCGTTTTATTTATTTATTTTCTTATATTAATTGATTCACCTTTGAATGATTATGATTTCCTTTTTCTCTCTCTTCCTTCATCACCATCGATCTATCTTTATACGGTTATGATTTAGAATCCGGAGATAAAATTATCTCAAGCAGCTTGAGAAACGATAAACCCTATATACACATACACACACACACATATATATATATA